GAGGTACTAATTAGTACATTTTAGGTACATTTTTTTAGTAAGTGGTATAATTTAATTCGCGATGGTACACCCGCCATTTTGACTCTCACGCGAAAGCTAGTTCAAAATAGAAATTATGCTAATAAAGCGTAAACACATAATTATAAAGGCAACAGCCGGTGAAGAGAAACCCTGCGATAAAATTCCCTTTAATAATAACTTGAAGGTGGTGCAAATTGCCGGATTTCATACACGGCCAGTGCGTTGCTGGCACAAGTCATAAGCGATAATCCTATTTATTTATTTAAATCTTTATGCACAAACTTTAAAATACAAATGTTTAAACTATACTAATACAAACAACATGCAAGGGCGGCCTTACAGCTATGAGTAATCTCTTACAGGCAACCCAGTGGGACAGGAGAAGCTAGACAATTCACAAGGGGAATTAATACATATAAAATAACGCTAACACAAATATTTATACATCCTACATAATAAACAAACATATATATACCACAAATAAACTTAATATAGAAAAAGCAAAAACATATCAGCAAGAGTCACTCTTAAGGAGGAGATGGCTGTGCAACTTTGTTTTAAAGATACCTTACTATTATTATAAATGCGAAAGTTTAGTAGATGGATGCATGTTTTTTAATATTCTCGTTCTCCTAACACATTTTTAGTCAGGGACCTAAGGAGCGGGTGTATCTTTATTTTTATTATTTTTTCAAGTTAAAACTTAAATTCACATTACAATCTTACTTCTGTTTATCACAGTATCATATCACTATATCTAAGCCTAATGTAAAAATATTACATATTATAATACAATTAAATTTAAAATGCAAATAGACAAGAAATTTTACTTACTAGACCCTGTTCCTCTCGATGCATGTTAGAGTTTTCAGCCTAAACTGTATACCTAACTACTACTAACTAACCTAACTAAATTTGGCATAGATGTAAGCATAGGCTAGTTAAAAACTAGAATACATTTTTTTAAATTTAAATGAATATAAAAAGTATGTAACTTGGGACATAAAGTTGCATCGTTTTTCGTATTACAGGAGAGCGTGTTCTGAATTTTATGAGGGCACAAATGAACCAGGCCAGTATTTTTTGCCCAAAAACCGTCTTTAATTATGCTTAATTTTACGTGCATATTTTCTATACATATATATTAATCTTACTAATATAACTGCGAAGGTTTAGATGGATGCTTGTTAGAGTTTGTAGCCTAAACTGCTGAACGGAACTCGAAGTTTGGCACAGTATAGCATAATCTAGAACATAGACCTACATTTGTTTTATTTCCACGCGGGCAAAATCGCGGGCGAAAGATAGTTATTTCAATTAGTAACACTATATGGATAGGGAAAACCTAAAACATGACAAAAAATACGCAAAGCAACGTTTATAGAGATAACAGTGGGGAAATACAGCGTGCATAGTATATGTTTGCTAATAGTTATTATTAGGCCGTTGGTTATTCATCATTTATTAATAATCTTATATCAATATAGTACCTATATTTAAAACATTAACTGAATGTTTCACAATGATTGAAAGCCAAGGTTTAACTGTTAACAATGTTACTTATTAAAAAAAAAAACCTATGTTTATAAATGCGAAGTTCAGATGGATGGATGTTTGTTAGAGTTTGTAGCCTAAACGGGTAAACGGATTACAATGAATTATAATGTTCGTAAGATACGGGTTTCTTACCACGATGGGGTTGTTTTAGCTCCCGATATTGCGGCCAGTTGCATGCGTCATGTTCACGGGCTGACTGAAGTGATGTGGTAGTGTGAAAAAAAAAGGAGAAGAGTAGACGAATATGGCTTCGTATAACATTTTTTTCAATCGTGTTAAGAAACCCGTATCTTACGAACATTATAATTGTAAAAACCAAGACAGTTTAAAGTTATATATGGTTTACAATGAAATTTACTATTGATGTAGGATAGTCTTGAAGAAAACATAGCACTTTTGATATTTTTTAATTTTACGTGGACGGAGTAGCGGGCGAAAGATAGTTTTAAGAATAAATATAAGAATTACAAAAAGGTTTTTACGCAAATTTGATCTCTTGTAATGCAAAATTGCCAAACGACTGAACCCTCTAATAGGGTCACTCATCACTCAAAGAGATGCTTGAATTGCCCCTTAAAAGGAATTTTTATTTTTTCTGTATACCTAACATTCAATGCTAAAGTCCACCTTTATCTTATAGGACTTCTCCGTGAAATTAGTAATAGTAGAGAAGTAGTAGAAAACAGAAATTAGTCAAAATATAGCCTACTAGCTTTTGCCCGTAACTCCATACCCTTGGAATTAACAAAAAAAACAAAAGTGAGTAGCCTATATGTTCTCCCAGACTATCCTCTACATCTACACAAAATTTAATCGAAATCCGTTCAGCTGTTTAGGCTACAAACTAACAAACATCCATCTAAACTTTTACATTTATAACATTAGTGTGATGTAAGTGATAACATGGCTTTTTAATGGGGAAAGAATTTTTAAAATTGGTCCAGTAGTTTATATTAAAAACCGGTAATCGACGGGAAGCATATGGAAATGACAGAAAAGATATGGGATGTATATCTTTTCCACCCAGAGGAATTTAGGTCAGATTGTTAGTCTATAATAATTTTATAAAGGGGAAAGATTTGTGTTTTTGTATTTTTGTATGTATTGTATTTTTTTGATTTTACGCGGGCAAAGTTACGAGCAACAGCTAGTCTGATGACATTTATTTATTCTATCTGCACAAACATTAAAATTACTAACAAGAAACTTGAGCAAAGCGGAAATATTTTCTTCAGTTTATTTCGTAGAAACGTAGTTGGAACAACATAGTTAGAAGCAAATGGGAAAGTAGTATTACAGTCAAGGGAAGCAGCCGCTATAACTATATTTACGCAGTAAAATGGGTTAAGGAATGTATTCCTTGTGCCCGTTTGCGAAAACTTTTTCCTCGGTACAGCGAGAAAAGTATATTAGTTTCTTACTTAAAGAGAAAGAAAACTAAAAAAAGCTAATTTGCTATGTTACATTAAGTTACGAGCAATATTCTATTTCATTAATACTAGCTATCACTCGACTCCGTCCGTGTGAGATTAAAAAAAGTAGCCTGCCTTCCTCCAGACTATGCTCTACATCTGTGCCAAATTTCGTTGTAATCCGTTTTGTTGTTTAGGCTACAAACTCTAATAAACATCTATACATCCTTTCAAATATTAATAACTAGCTGTTCCCGTGCGATATCATCAGCATAAAATTGTTTTATTGTTTACATGTGTCAAATTGTTAATTGCAAATGTCAAAATGACACGACATGACAAAACTTGGCAATCTTGCTTCTTTGATGTTGGCAGCAACTTATGGTCTCTTTCCCTCTTTAGGGTTTTGATCCAAAATATTTACCCCTAAGTTTATTGGCGTGAAAACATATAACCTAAAACGTGACGTAAGTGTAGGGCTTTTTATTAAAAAAATAATTGTTCAAAAATATGCTGTAATTGCTGATCTCTTAGACAACAAAGAAGTGCGTGGTTACGCTTTATTATAATAGTATAGATATTTAAGATTTCTATTTTTTAATCCGTACTAATCAAAGAGTAGGTACGTCAGTTAAACTTCGTTGATGCATAATTGGCATTTCCAATAACTGTAATCGTTGTTAAAATATAGGTTTTTAAATTATTTAATTCCAATATGTATTTATTAACTATCTTCGTTTTCCTTAATACACAATTGACAAAACAATTACCAAAAAGTATGGATGTAATGTCGGTCATTTAAACACTATCCTGGCTAACCCGTCTATGGACAAGGCCGGGATGGTGTTTAAGTTGGCTGACATCTGTTTAATAAAGTAATTAGAGAACTGAGTTTTGTTGGTTTTAGACTTATGGGGCGTTATCGTCCCTATGCGAAATAGCCCCTTTTAAAATATTTATAAAAATACCAAAACAGTAAGCGTGATAAATTTGTGTCTCAGCCGCACGCTGGAATATTTCGGTCACGTTGCTAGGCGATCCCCCGAAAACCTAGAAAAACTTACTATTACTGGCAAAATCGAGGGGAAGAGATCCAAAGGACGTCGCCCTATGCGTTGGACGGACCAAATATGCACCACTCTCAACACAACTATACATAATGCCATACATGTCGCAGAGAATCGCACAGAATGGAGAAACACCCTTCGAGAGAGTGTCAAGGAGAGTGGTCGCGACCGTCAGGAATGAGGAATCGATCCGGAGAGAGAGAGAGAGATAGAATAACTATCAGAAATTAAAAAAAAATAGTCGTCAATATTTTCGTGTCCAATGCCCGCCTAAGAGATGTATGTAAAACACATGATGTATGTTTAACAGTGGTAGTGTCCGCTTTAACATCTTAGCACTGCAGGGCCGGCACGTCCAGTGTAATACCACGACCACACAGAAGACAGGCGTGAAATGGAAGCAATTCCGTGTTTCGTCTGATGAGTGTGGTGCCGGATGCCTAATTTAAGTCCCTTACTCCTTACCACACTTTTCTTATAAGGAGGGGATGGGAAGGGGAAGTGGATTTGACGGTGGAGGAGATGCATAGGAAGGGGAAATATCCTCTTTATGTGTGTCTGCTCCTCCGTCGGATAAGGGTAGGCAACGCATCTGCAATTGCGGATGTCTATGGGCAGCGGTCGCTTTGCCAATTCGGCGGATTCAAGTGGCCGCATGCTCGTTTGCCACCTTGTTATAAAAAAAATATATATTTTAGAGATTTCCGGGAGATTTTAGGAGTTATATACATTATCTAGGGATTGTGTAGAATGACGGATTTCATACATGTCCATTAACATAAATAAATAATATAGAAGATTCAAATATCCGGTAACGCATTGAGTTCCGCTCGATAAGCATGTGCGTTGCGTTGCGTACATTACGTTTAGTATACAACAGCCATGATTGAGAGACTGTCCCATTGTATTGTTGCCATATATATATTAATATGTTCCGTTTATTGTCAAGATGGTGCAAACAGTTCCTTAACATTTGTTATTGACAATACAGTGTCCATGGCTAAAGATATAAAAATGGTAATAAAATGTGCTGACCAAATCTTCGATACTGTTGTCAATTCCAACAAATCTGAGATTGGAAATTTCGTCATTGTGACGTTTAATGATCCAGGTATGTCTTAATTTAGAATTCACTAGTTTTTGTCCGCGACTTCGTCTACGCAATATTAAGATAAAAAGTAGGCTATAATATCTCATCCCATCTATGTCAGCTACCCTTCAGTGAAAGTCCTGTCGGAATCAGCCCAGCCGTTTTAGAGATTACACGGCACAAACGTGTCTTGCGGACAGACAGACAGATAATAATTTTTTCAATGCCATTTTCGTTATCTTCACGAAATCTGGAATTTTTCTTTTGATATTACAAACAGACACTTCAATTATATTATATGTATAGATTATCGTTTATTTATTTAATAAAAATACAAGAATATTTCAGTCATAAACACCAATACTATCGGTTAGGCAACATATAATTTTTGCTTGAACTTGCATTTTGCCAGTTATAGCGTCCGTACCGTATTAAAAAAACAAAACCAACTTCCAAAAGACAATTCACTAAAAAGTACCGAAATAACTCCTTCAACATAAAAACTTCCCTTATTGTAGCTGTTATGTCTATATTGTACAATTATTATTACTTTGATGTCGGTGTCAGCCGAGATAGGCAGTGATATTTCTACGTAAAGCTTTCTAAATTAGTACCATAACAATTGACAATTGAACGTATAGTAAATATAGATTGATTGATACCGACTTCAAAGTAATGATAATTGTACAAAATATATAACAGCTACGATATGGAAGGTTTACATGTTGAAGAAATTATTTCGTTAATTTTAAGTGTATTGTTTTTTGAGAAAGTTTTGTTTTTAGTGTATTGTGTTTTTGTATGTATATCTGTCCGCAAGCCGCGTTTATCGGAACAACAGAGTAATCCCCGAAACGGCTGGGCCGATTTTACGGGACTTTCACTGAAGGGTAGCTTAAACGGATAGGTATATTTTAGGCTACTTTTTTTTTAAATTCAGGGGTGTCAAAATGGCGTAATGGGTTGTCTAAATTTGCGATAACGAAGTTTGCGGGCTACATCTCGTTATTGATAAACCATAGTATTTCAGATTACGAATTGCGTATTACAACTAACAAGAAAGAAGAATTCAAAGACTCGTTACAGAAGATTAGAGCATATGGCGGTGGTGATTGTCCCGAAAAGTCGATGTCAGGAATTGAACTCGGCCTTAAATCTAGTCAGCCGTTTTCCTATATATTTGTTTTTACTGACGCCAGTGCGAAGGATACGGAAAAGTTTGAATTTGTTAAAAATTTAGCGTTGAATTTAAATATAAAGGTGATGTTTTAATTAGTGTTTTTAGAATTTTTTTTAAGTTTCAAATAGTTCTGTAAGTACATTTTTAAAAGCAAATTGTATGAAGATAATTAAAATATTTATTGAATCTATACTATTATAATGAAGCGTAAACACACACTTCTTTGTTGCCTAAGATGTCAGCAATCACTGCATATTTTCGAATAACTCTTCTTGTTAATAAAAAGCCCTACACTTTACGATTTAGGCTATATATTTTCACGACAATAAACTTAGGGGGTAAATATTTTGGTTATAAACCCTAATGTGGGAAAGAGACCATAAGTTGTTGCCAACCAAGAAGCATGGTTTGACATCATGTTATGTCATTTTGACATTTGCAATTGGTAATTTGACAAATGTGAACAATAAAATTTAATGTTTATAATTCTATACGGATGAAGCCGCACGAGAGCAGCTAGTATATTAATAAAATTGATATTTAAAAAAGAGGATAATGTCGGTGCACGCGATATCAGAACGTCAAAGACCTATAGGATGCCCTTGAACGTTATGACGAACTTGTGACATCAAAAATAGGCACATTTGATAAACGAATTCATAAAATCAACTTAGTTGCTATATAATTTTATTACACTGGCACTTATATTTAGTCTCATAATATTTTAACTTCATGCACAGTACAATCAATTTTCATTTTATTCACGTTTTACTTTATTTTAGATGCATTTCATTATAACGGAAGTCTCGTGTCCAGGTGATAAAAATCCCGATTTCAAACCATATGAGACGTTAGCTTCGAAAACCGGAGGTGATTTCTTTATTATGAGGAAAAACAATATACCAGAAGTAAGATAATAAGTGCGGTTTTTACTTGGCCAGTAAGGTCAGTAGCGCTTAATAACTAGACACCCAATCAACTATGTGAACGCTTACTGGCGCCTGTGAGTCTACGATCTATGACAGGCCAGCGCAACTGTCCAACTGTACTAGCCAAGTTTGAACCGGGCAATAGTTTTGTCGATAATTTTAATATTGCATTTAATATAAAAGTAACGTGACTTTTATTTTCAGATATTGGAATACGTAAAAAGGTTGATAGGAAGTAAAAAAGTTGAAATATTGAGAAGAAATTTCTCACCGGAAGAAGAAAAGAAAGTTAATGTAATTAATCAAAGACGATTATAGAAATCTAAGACAAAAACTTCAAATTGCAGTTAAAAATCTTAGGGCCGGTCCCACAAAATTGTAAATTGTCTATTAACAATCTAATGTGTAAAACATGTGATGGAAATATCGGATTTTGTTCCTTTATCTGACAGTGTCGCCATTTTAAACTATCTGAGTTTATCAACCAGTGGTGGGACAGGCTCTTAATCTATTTTATATATAATTTCAATGAAGACACTTCTATTTGTTATTTCTAAACAATCTGTGAAAAAATAGTAAAACAATCGGTTTAATATAAACAACATTGGTAGAACATTTAACAGTGGTTGAGCCCGCTTTAACATCTCCGCACGAATTAGTTGGCTCCCCCGGTGTTATACCACGACCACACAGAAGACAGGCGTGAAGTGGGAGCAATTCCACGTTTTGTCTGATGAGTGTGGTACTGGAGGCCAACTTTAGTCACTTTTCCTTCCCACCCTTTTTTATAAGTAGAGGATGGGAAGGGAACGTAGATTTGACGGTGGAGGTAACGCATAGGAAGGGGAAACAGCCTCTTTATGTGCGTCACCTCCTCCTTCGATTAAGGGTAGTCAACGTATCCGCTATTGCGAACAGCTATGGGCAACGGTGGCTTTGCCATTTTGACGGATTCAGGTAGCCGCTTGGTAATTTTTAATAACTCATTAAAATACATTTTTAGGTAACACTGGATTCATCAATAAAAGACCTATTGGTTACTGTAACTGGTGTTAAGCCAGTGATTCATATCAAAGACAAGCTAAACGCTACAGTTCTCACTGACGATGTCGCGAAAACAAAAAGAGCAAAAGTAAGTTAGAATATGCCCATTTCAGTAAATGCTTCGAGAACAAAGATATTAAAAAATCTAGAGAAGGCATAATTGACATTAAACCAAAGACATTTTCACATAATCATCACTAACGCTATTTGAGCGCCTCAAAATCACATTTCAATATAAATTGTATTTAAATTAATAGGTGTTATTAATTAATATTTAAATTTTACTTATTAACACTGTTTTGTTTATTTTATAAAATATAGAGCTTATTGTAATTTCGTACTTAACTTGACAACTGTAGTACCTTTCAAAGAAAGTACAGGTGAAATAATTTTGTCAACTATGCCTCGTCTATATTTTTTAATGTCTATGTGATTGAAACGAACTACGTGACAGTCAATTTATCCTTCCACAGATAGTTGCCTGGAATAACACAGAACCAGGAGCTTACCACATTGCTTTAGAGACGGCTAATAGTACAATGAATACATTATTAATAATACGTGGCACAAGTAAAGTTACTTTTACTTATGGATTTTCGGTACTTAAGCCTGAATATATGAACGAAACAACAAATCGACCTGTTGCAGGTAAACGAGATAATTGTTAGTAATAGTCTTAATTGGTATGATATATATTGACAAAGATCTTATTGCTGTTAAGAAATAAACTAACAATGTTATTGACATATTTTGACCAATGAAACAGTGGCAGCTGCACTGGTAAATGTCACCATTTTTATAATTTCGAAATTACAGAGAGAATATCACGTGTGATGATATGACGAGCAGTTTTATCTATACTATTATAATAATACGTAAACACACAATTCTTTGTTGCCTAAGATGTCAGCAATTACAGCATATTTTTGAATAATTATTTTTTTAATAAAAAGCCTTACACTTACGTCACGCTTTAGGCTATATGTTTTCACCATTAAACTTAGTAAATATTTTGGGTAAAAACCCTAATGTGGGAAAGAGACCATAAGTTGCTGCCAACATCAAGAAAGCAAGATTGCCAAGTTTTGTCATGTCATGTTATTTTGACATTTGCAATTGATAAATTGACACATGTAAATGATAAAATTAAATTTTCATAATTTTATGCGGATAAAGTTACATGGGAACAACTAGTTTGCTAATATTAGGAAGGTGATGATGATTATATTAACAACACTTTACTATTAATTCTGAACACTATTATATTAGTAAATATAAAGTGTACCTCGTCTCTTTGACTAAACTTTCTTACAAATTGGTTTAGATGCATTAATTAAAATAGTATGTAATTACTACGGATATTATACGCAGGTTACTTTCAATTGTTTTTATTCTATGCTAGCTGTTCCCGTGCGACTTCGTTCGAAAAATTATGAAAATATTAATGTTATTGTTTACATGTGTCATAATGACAAGCCATGGCAACCTTGCTTTCTTAATGTTGGCAGCATGTAGTTTATCACATTGTTTTTTTTTTCAATTAATTTATATCCCATGTTTAATAGCGTGAAAATATATAGCCAAAAGCGTGTCGTAAGTGTAGGGCTTTTTATTAAAGGAATAATTATTCAAAAATATGCTGTGATTGCAGACACTCTACGCCACAAAATAGTGTGTGTTTACGCCTTATTATAATAGTAAAGATGGGAGAATTTTGAAAAAAAAAAGAAGTATTATTACTTACTCTTAGCTTTGAAAATTACCAGTTTCCCCTATCAGTTCTAAAAAAGTGCCGTAAGATCCTTGTCGGACTATACACTCTAATGTTACTGTAATATTATAAATGCGAAAGTTTAGATGGATGGATGTTTGTTAGAGTTTGTAGCCTAATCGGCTGAATGGATTTGGATGACATTTGGCATAGATGTAGAGCATAGTACGGAAGAACACAGAGGCTACTTACTTTTGTTTTTTTAAATACCACGCGGTCGGAGTCGCGAGCAAAAGATAGCTAGTATTATATTTAGTGTATTAATATCTGTTAATTTTTCAGATCAAAAATCTTACGTCTTAATAAAACTAAAAACTGAAGGCGTAAATGTTAATCTCCAAAGGATTCAAGTCGTCGATTTGAAAGAAAAAGTACTTTTGGATAAACCAATGACTATTATTGAGAAAGATGATCTGTGTTATATTTCAGAACCAATCGCTTTTCCTAAAGATACATTCAAAATAGTGGTAAATATAATTCAATATTGTATATATAGCAAATCAATTGGGCCGTCTTGGCTAGGATACCATATTAAAAAAGAAATGTCACAGTCCCTTGTAGCTAGCCAGCTAATGGTAGCTGCTACATTGGTCCAAAAATTTGTGCAGCGTCCAAATACTGACAAATCTCATGCAACTATTGTCAATAGATTTACGAATGCTTTTTTTGCATAATTTTCGTGTTAACCCTAAAGTATATAATAATATGTATTTATTTTTTGTTTTGACATTAACCTACCGTTTAATTCAGATGATAGCAGAGGATGAAGAAACGAAAGAAATTATAAAACGTAATTCTTTACCGATAGAGCTGCAAAAAATGTTACCAGGTAAATAATATTTCTTCGTCATATATTCTTCCACCTATTTTATGTTATTGAAGTCTCAAGGTTACTTTTTTTACCATCAGACTCGGTAAAGTTCTATTTCAGTAAATTTGTTTTTTTAATGTTTATAACAGGTACCATTAAAGACGAAGCACCTAAAGTTACAATAACGGGTGACGCTAAAGTGATGTCTTCTTATGCAAGTCCTGTTAAACTAACTTGTAGAGTAACTGGACATCCTAAACCTAACATAATATGGACAGATGAGTTGGGTTCGCCCTTGAAATTTATGGTAATTATAAATATATACATGATTATACGAGGTGACAGATGAAAAAGTTATGTGGAAGACAAAAACCACGCTGAACCTGCGGGAGTAGGACAACGGGGGTAGAACTGGTAGTAAATAAATTTAATGGTTAACGGTTCATCTAACTATCTAACTTCTAACTAATATTATAAATGCGAAAGTTTAGATGGATGGATGGATGTTTGTTAGAGTTTGTAGCCTAAAGGGCTGCACGGATTTGGGTGAAATTTGGTACAAATATAGAAAATTCCACGCGGACGGAGTCGCGCGCGAAAGCTAGTTTTTCGTTAATACGAGATAAACTTAGACTTACACCAAGGGAGTGTTACGAGTAGCCGTTTGGAATTATTCCTGCCTCTGAATTTTGTCATCGGATAACAAGACAGTCCGCCAGGTACCATCTACGCTACTTGTATGACAGACGTTCCTCAAAAAAATTCGACTTAAGGATCTTCAGGCGATTGTCTCCTCAAAAATTGTAACGCATCTGCTGTCCATCTGGTGTTGAGGACATCCTCAATCCAATGGACATCCATTGGCAGCAATGATGACCTGGTTCTTTTAATTGCTTATTTGCAACTCTTGTAAAACCGTATATTGTTTTAGGTTCTAACGCTAAGAGAGGAATATGAATTTCTTAGTGTATTGGATATAGATAAAGTAAACCGAAACAACACATACATTTGCAAAGCTAGTAACAGTATTAGCAGAGATGAAAAAAGTGTTAAAGTGGAAATGAAAAAATTTTTCAATGTAGTTAATCTGTCTAAGGGTAAGAAAGCAATTCTTAAGTTAACAAGGGTTTAGCCATGTTTGACAATAAAGGCCAAATTTTAGACGTAAGCGCAAACGAAGATTGCCAAATAATTGATAAAATAATCAATATTTTAAATGTTAATTATAAGATTTTATTAGAATTATATTTATAGTTCATTGCCATATATTTTTAAATAATTTCACTTTATACAATGCGAAAGTTTAGTTGAATCAATTGTCACGAATTTAGAATATAGTCTGGAAAAACGAATAGGACACTTATTATTGATTTAATCGATGCCGAAATGTATTGAGAAAAAAACAATGGTTCATTATAATTGACAGATAAAAAGGTAGAGTATGGTAAAGAGGAACAGATTTACTGCAAAGTAAACTCAAGCCCACCCGCTAAAGTAACTTGGTTGTTAAATGGAAAAGAAGTTAACGCTGATGACAATATTAGTATATCACCAGACCAATCTACTTTACTTATAAGAAAAATGAAACCCGAATATGTCGGGAAAATTCTTTGTGAAGTTAGAAACCTGAACAACGAAAGGCTTGTTCTACATAATATGCAACTGACGATAACAGGAATTGGTATGTAATCTTAATAGTTATAATAAATGAATTATAATACTTTTTAGTAAAATGAGAAATAATGAATATATTTTTACAGAGGCTCCAAAAATCGATAATAAAATTACTGAAATCTCCATCAATAAAGGATCCAATGCAACAATTTCTTGCAGGTAGTTTATATTTTTTAATCCATAAAGCTGTCAAATAAACCAATGATTCATATGTTTTTCACCAATGGTCTTTGAGTGACGATGGTTTATAAGTTCATATATATTTTTTTAATGTTTCATGTTCATCATCTACCTCCTTATCCTACTCCCTCGGGTCAATAAAACAGGTTGTCCTCCACATAACTCTATTATACGTCATCTCAGTCATCATTGCCTTTTTGCTCATGTCACCCTTCACGCAATCCTTCCCTATCTAGGTCTACCTCTACAGTGCACCCTTCCACACTCATAACTAACGTTTTCCTTGTTACATGCGGTTCATCACTCCTTTTTTTAAAATGCTTAAGGATTCTGAAAGGAAAACCAAATCCAACGATCCAATGGTATTTTAAGGCTAAAAATAAGGATTCATTTTATCCAATAGAAGAATTTAAAGAAGACATACGTATTGACAAGGTAACTGCCAATGTTGTTGGGACCTACAAGTGTATTGCGAAGAATGAAATTGATAAAGACTCTCATATTGTAGATTTACTTATGGAATGTGAGTATTATTTTATTGTACGTAAAATCGAAGACAGTACAACAGAATGAATAGAATAATAACCTTACCTTAATTGAATAAACCCGACTGACTTAGGTTCTTGATGAGCTCTGAACTCTCCATTAAAAAATTTCTTTTTTAATTCAGAATAAATAAGCTGCTCCCCTAGACAAACGATTTTCGATTAACGATATCGCTAGTAGAATCCACAAAATATGTCAACATATATAAGAATAAATTTACTAAACCATCGCACAACTGTTTATTCCCGTTTTGTTTAGCGAGCTTATATGGAGCCGCGCACATCGCTTGATTTTTAGTGCAACGAAACAGTTAAATGGGCTGAGAAACAATTGACATTTGTCAAATTGTGCGATGCTCTTACTTTGAGGGAAAGCAGACGTATCTAATGACACCGCACTCGTCAAAACTGTTTCAATTGTTGCCTCTTTGTCAGTTGCGTAAAAAATATACACGTCTCACATCCATTGATCGAGGGCAAGTTTAGTCCTATTTTATTTATTTTAAAATGTTTCAGATACACCTGTTATCAAGGGTAAAAAACATATTGATGTCGTAAAAGAAATTGGAAAATCAGTCACAATACATTGTGAAATTCAAGGAGAACCAGCTCCAAAGATAAATTGGTCAATAAATGGCGCAATAGTCGAGAATACTGAGATTTACAAAATATATAAAGATCACACTTTAACGTAAGATCTAAATAATAGTGTATTTTGTACTTATATAAAACATATATGAGAAAGAAACTATCAGCATATTCTACCATATTGTAACGATACTGATAGAAATTTCAATGTTGCTAAGGAAGAGAAAGTGAATAATGCATGGCAATAAACCTTTTAACTACTACTAACTAGCAATAATCTTAAAATTATATCTAAAATAAAACTAACACTAACAAACAGACTCAAGTAAATACTTAAATAATAAACATTTTACTAATATGAAAAAATGTTTGAACAGTTTTAAAGCTTCAATGAAAACAATGGGAGAGTATTCTTGTGAAGGTGTGAATAAATTAGGATCTGTCAAAACAACTGCAAATGTCAGCGTTTTTGGTAAGTTTTATATCTATAACTATATACAATAAATAAAATTTAGTATCTGTATGTATATCGAAAGAATATTCCGAAATTCGGAAAGATTATGTACGTTTTTTTATATATAATATAAGGTGGCGAACGTACAAGCGGCCACCTGAATCCACCGAAATGAAGAGCGACCGCTGCCCATAAACATCCACAATTGCAGATGCGTTGCCTACCATTAATCGACGGAGGAGGAGACTCACATAAAGATGACATTTCCCCTTACGATGCGTCTCCTCCACCGTCAAATCCACTTTTTCTTCCCATCCTTTCCTCTTAAGAAAAGGGTGGAAAGGGAAAGGGACTAAAATTAGGCCTCCGGCACCACACTCATCAGACGAAACGCGGAATTGCTTCCACTTCACGTCTGTTTTCTGTGTGGTCGTGGTATTACACCGGACGAGCCGGCTCATTCGTGCGAAGATGTTAAAGCGGGCTCTACCACTGTTAATACTTGCGTCGCTGATAACGAAAATCGCATTTAAAATAATTTAAAAAATAATTTTGTCTGTCTGCCCGCAAGCAATTTTTTTGCGTTTGTTCCGGGTTACCGCAACAACGGCTGGGAGGATTTTGAAGGAATTTTACTGTAGGGTAGCTGATTATAGACTATTTTTCGATTTTGACGAATGAGGTGTCATTTCATTCGGCTTCTTTCCAGGAGGTGTTTGCTATTAATAATATTACATCAGCATAAAACATCTACAGAGGACATGAAAAATGATATTTAAAAAAAAGTGATAGAAATCGATTTGAAAACTCACTTGATATTTTTTTTGTCATTTCTAAACCTTTATATTTTCTACCTTTTGAATGTCATTTCTTTTCAGAACCAGTTAGTTTTGATAAACCCAGTGATTTGATGATTAATATTAAGAGTGGTCAGACATTAGACATATTGTGTCCAGTGAAGGGATTCCCGCGACCAAAGACCCAATGGGTTTTCTATTCAAATGATGGCAAGGAACAAAGGTACAGTTTTTAAATCCGTACATGTAAAATGAATTACACAACGTCCCTGTTACATAAATTGTTTTTTAACCATTTGATTGTAAACACACAGGTGTTTACAATTTCTACAGATATATTTATTATTTGTGTAAAATTCTAATCATACTTCATACTAATATTATAAATGCGAAAGTTTAGATGGATGGATAGATGGGTGGATGTTTGTTTGAGTTTATAGTCTAAACGGCTAAACGGATCTCGATGAAATTTGGTACAGATGTAGAGTATAGTCTGGAAGAACACATATGTAGGCTACTTACTTTTATTTTTTTTTAATACCACGCGGACGGAGTCGCGGGTGAAAGCTAGTAGACATTATAAAGTCGAGCAGGTTTCTTGTTTAATAAGGTGACAAACGACAGGTACATGTAGAAACCCTTTTACTATAGTAATACCAGCTGCAGACACTCTGACATTTTTAACTGAAGAGCTGAATCGATCAGTAGTTCTGTGTGTGTAAAAAAAAAATTTACTGTCCTATTGTTGTTAAAACGGGCTTAATACAGCTACTACATGCTCCTATAGATTTTAATCTTACTATCTTACTTCTTACTTATAATAACATAAATGCGAAAGTTTAGATGGATGGCTGGATGTTTGTTAGCGTTTGTAATCTAAACGGCTGAACGGATCTCCATGAAATTTGATACAGGTTTAGAACATAGTCTGGAAGAACACCTAGGCTACTTTTTATCCCGGGAATAGGTACGGTTCCCGTGGGATTCATTAATTTAGTGTTTTAATGTTTACTCGATCATTCTGTAACGGTTCAACATATCTTATTGAAATTTGGCACAGATATAAAACAAAGTTTGGAGTACACATGGGATAAGCTTCATCCCCGAGAAATGCCCGGTTCCCGAGGGATACGTAGCTTTTTGTAATTTATATAGTTCGTATGTTTTCTAATACCACGCGGACGAAGTCGCGGGCAACAGCTCGTTAGTAAATATTTGTATGGGGGAGTTGACAATTGGGTCTTCCATCTTTGTAAATTAAGCAGCGTTATAAATAATCTCTCGAGATGTGTTTTATATTTTTTTTACTTTCATTACAGTGTTCTCAGTGAAACAGACCATTTAGTAGTTTCAACTATTCAGGAGAGACAAAATGGTTTATATGTTTGTATTGCGAAAAATCCCTTTTGTGAAGAGAAGTCTCTTACATACATTGTCAATGTTCAAGGTGACTATAACATTAACAGTATTATATTACTTTAAACTTACTAATGTTATAAATGCGAAAGTTTAGATGGATGAATGTCTGTTAGAGTTTGTAGCCCAAACTGCTGAACGGATCTCGATGAACTTTAGCATTGATGTAGAGGATAATCTGGAAGAACAGATAGGTTACTTAAGTTTTTTTTAATTCCAAGCGACTATGTCGCTGGCGTAAGCTAGTGTTATTAATATATTTATGTTGTAAATATGTTCATAGTGCCCCCTTCTATAAAACCAGAAGTAAAAATTGAAGCGGTTGAAGGTGATATAAGTGCAAGAATACCATGTAATACCATTGGACATCCAAAGCCAACAATAAGATGGTTATTTGAAGGCAATCCTTTAGCTACAGGTAAGAAATATTTATCAAGACAATACACTCACGTCGTAACTTGTAGTTTGGACACGGATTTTGTAAGCTCGGACTCATTACCAAAGACAACTGTCTTCGGGCGTTAAAATGTTTTGTTTTTAACCATAAAAAAAACTTGACGGTGTTTCAAATACATTTTTGATTTAACGTGCGTAAAGCGTAAACCCTTTTATCGCTTTTTGATATTAAACGTTACCATGGTTCTAAGAGCGTGCACCCTTTTGACTAAATTATCGCACACTGTTGTGCGATTGTCGATTCCTTCTCAACCAAATCAACTGTTTAGTTGCACAACCAAAAATCAAGTAGTGTGCGCACCTTCATAAAAGCTCATAGGATTCAAAGCAAGACTAAACAGTTGTGCGATAGTTAAGTTTCAGGTTTCACTCTCTAGCTTCTGGCACGGATTTTTGACAACCATGATTATTGTAATAGTATGAGTAGACTTACGAAATGCCATTGTGGGTCAAGTTTAACCTAGAAAAGCCTTATTTTTTAAATCAAATTGCAGAATGTATAAGTGTACTCTTTACTGTGTTTTTTACTAAAGGGGAAAATAGTTATAAAAATCAAAACGACGTTTTTATATATTTTTGTGATACGCTCCTTTTTGTTTTCTAACTTAAAGATTATTTGCCTAAGGTAACATGTAAACAGCCTAATCTATCTATATCTATACTATTATAATAAAGCGTAAACACACACTTATTTGTTGCCTAAGATGTCAACGATTACAGTATACTTTTGAATAATTCTTTCTTTAATAAAAAGCCCTACACTTACGTCACACTACAGACTATATATTTTCACGCCATTTAACTTAGGGGGTAATTTTAGATAATAACCCCAATGTGGGAAAGAGAGCATAAGTTGCTGCTAACATAAAGGAAGCAAGATTGCCAAGGTTGGTCATGTCATGTCATTTTGACATTTGCTATTGATAATTTGACAAATGTAAACAGTAATATAAAATTTCCATAATTCCATGCGGAAGAAGCCGCACGGGAACAGCTAGTATTAAAATAAAATCGATTGTAGGCGCAAAATACGATTCAGTATCATATGAAATTACAAGTAATTAAGGGTAAAGCACTTGCTTTGTAATCAGATGGTGAATAACTTGATATTTTGTTCCAGGAAACGAATTCTATGATATGGATTCAGATGGAACTTTGATTATTAAGAGTGTCAGAAAAACGGTATCCGGAAATTATGTTTGTGTTGCCGAAAGCAGTTTCGGAGAAGTATTTGGAAATTTTAAATTAACTGTTGATGGTAAATATACTGTACTGATAGCTGAGTACGATACTGAGACAATTATTTGTAACAAGATTTTGATGTTAGATTTGTTCAAAGTAAATAAAACCGTTATTAACGGTTAACGGTTTTTTTAGCCGAATGCCTTTTTTGAACACGTACTAAAATTATTTGAAACTATGCTAAATAATGTGTGATTTATTACACTATTATAGATATGTGTATTATCTAATCGTATGGTAAAGGTGGTTAATTTGAAAAAAAAATGTTGTGAATTTTAAAAAAGGTTTTTTTTACTCGGGTAGTTATTGAACTACACACAACTAGATGCTCATCGTTGAGTTCTGAGACATCTATACTATTATAATAAAGCGTAAACACACACTTCTTTGTTGCCTAAGATGTCAGCAATTACAGCATATTTTTAAATAATTTTTTTTTAATAAAAAGCCCTACACTTACGTCACGCTTTAGGCTATATATTTTCACGCTATTAAACTTAGGGTTAAATATTTTGGATAAAAACCCTAATGTGGGAAATAGGCCATAAGTTGCTGCCAACATCAAGGAAGGAAGATTGCCAAGGTTTTTCATGTCATGTCACTTCGACATTTGCTATTGATAATTTGACAAATGTAAACAATGTAACGAAAGTTTCATGCGGATGAAGCCGCAGGGGAACAGCCAGCATGTATAATCTTCGTAATTTATAGAAATTATCTCTTATTTGCAGCATATCCACGTAAAGGTGGTAAAGTAAGTCAAATGTATTTGGAAACCGGGAAATCTGCAGTAGTAAAATGCAATGTACCTCATACTGCTACAGACAAAGTACGATGGTACCAGGTATGAATATATAACTGTACCTACACCTAAAGTTTTTAGTTGTGCAACTAAACAGTTAAATTGTCTACGAAACAATCGATAATCGCACGAGAGTTATGCGATAGTTTAGTCAAAGGTGTTCGTCCGCTCTTATTCTTGGTTCTTTTCCATCTTGATTGTGTGTCTGTCTAAGCTCCTAGGCAAGACAGAATCGAGATGGCGGGGAATTAAGAAAATTAGAAACGTCATACCACAGATTTGACAGTGGTAGAGTCCGCTCTAAAATCTTCGCATTGTAGAGCCGGCTGGCACGGTGCAATACCACGACCACAAAGAAGACAGGCGTGATGAGCGTGTCTGGAGACCTAATTTTAATCCTTTTCCTTTTCCACTGTTATCTTATAAGGAAAGGATGGGAAGGGAAAATGGAGTTGACGGTGGACTGTCTCGAGGTGGCGGTGGACGCATAGGAAGGGTCGATATCCTCTTAATGTGCGTCACCTCCTACGTCTTTTAAGGGTACGCAACTCGTCTGCAATTGTGGATGTCTTTGGGCTGCTGTCGCTTAGCCATTTTGGCGGATTCAAGTGGCCCCTATAAACTCAAACAAACAACCGTCTATCTAAACTTTCGCATTTATAATATTAGTAAGAAGTAAGATTATTGTTATCTTTAATTTAAGTGAAGTTTAAACTAATAAATCTATTTAAGGGAAGATATTTGAAAGCCCACGGTGACTTAGTAATCAATCGTTACTCCAGAAGTGACACTTATAAATGCCGTGTAAGCAATTATTACAATTCTGTCACTGGCACTGTGCGTATCAAAACAGGATTTAAACCGCGATTCGCATTTCCGTTAGAGGAAAAACAAGTAATGTTTTATGACCCCGATCCTTGCCTGAACTGTGGATATAGTGCAAACCCAAAACCGAAGGTAAGTGTTCCATTACCACTAAATTGGAGAGCCACACCACAAAAGTACCACACAAGTAAACAGTATAAAGAATTTCTAGTAAAATTGACACAATGCTAAGAAGGATAATCAAATAGTGTTACATTATTTTTAAACAGATTTCTTGGTGGAAAAATAAAAATAAAATTGTCTTTTCTGAAGACAATTATTGTTGTTATACTGCTGCTTGTATTGGAGAATACGAATGTGTTGTTGAAAACGAATTGGGAAAAATTAATCGGACATTTTATATAGCAGGCGATGGTGAGTGCTTTGAGAAAATTTTTTGTTTTATTATCATCTTAAGAAACGTCGGTAACCCTGAGCGGGTTTTAAGCACTTGACTTGTAATCTACAAGTCTTGTGTTCGAAGCCCGCCGTGTACCAATCTGTTTTTAGAACTCGATGTCTTCCTTCACCGTACATTATGTACATATGAATGTACATAATTTACCCGACGTTGTTATGGTGAAGGAAGACATCATAATGCCTGCAAATATCGGCAAAGAAATTCAAAGATATGTGCGAAGTCAACCGTCACGCATTGGTTTGACTAAGGCCTAGTCGGATGGACGTAAAGTGAGCTGGTGATGATTATTTTAACACCATGTTTTGTTTCTTTCAGACTGTTTGTTGGATATAAAAGATGATTTGGATAGATATCACCCACTTGTACTTAATGAAGACAACAAATTTCCCGCTTTCTCGGTTAAAGATGGACATTTAGCTATACCTTTTGGTCACAGCGCCCAATTTTTCTGTCAAGATGGTTTTAATAAGTTCACAAATTCGTTATTAAAAGCAGAATGTGTGAACAGTCAAACATTTAAAATAAACGGAGAACAGGTACTTTATCCTAAATTGAAATGCAAGGAAGCTTTACAGCCAGTCACAATACGAACAGATAAAAATTGTGCAAACGGTAATGGAGAAATCTTCAAAATTGGTATAAATGTTACAATGTTTCTGGAAGTGTATAAAATATGTTTTCACAAAAAACTTAAAATTCCTTTGTACGGTGAGTATGAGTTAACAGCTTTAGCGGCCGGTGTAAACTGTGCATCACCAGAAACATGGTTTAACGGAGATGTGCTAAATTACAACAAAGATGAAATGTACGATTGTAAGCAACAAAGGAATTATCTATCCGGAATACTAGGGAGAGATTTACCTGGTAAGGAAGATGAGTGTTTTGGCGTCAGACAACTTGTAAACGAAAGAGACGTACCAGCAGGTTTTCCACAAATGTTGACTCATAGTTATCTAAATGTTATTCCACATTGGAACTCTGATGTCATGAAGGTAAGTAGATTTTTGTTGAAAATATGCATGTTTTGCTGACTTTTTGGATACACGGATTCTTGAATGATCATCATCTTTATCTGGCCTACTACCGTGGAATGGTCTACCAATCGTCTGATTAGCAAATACTCTAGTATGGTTTAGCTCATGTCGATCGTCGATTATCATGTTGTTGTTTCCACTTTATAAATTCCTCCGTTTATAAGTTTACCTGTCTCCCGCGAAAGCGAGCGCGAAGAATTTAAAATAACCTAAACAAGTAGCCTCTTTTTGATGTCTGGGACGAAAGCTCCCCAAGATTGTCTCTTTCTACGGAAGGCATTATGTGGGATTTGACCTACAAAAACCCTCTCGGTGGCCATCCTCAAGTGACATAGACGAAGCTCCCGGTATCTCCAAGGAACACACCGGAATCAAATTTGTACTTTATGTCTTCTCTCAGACTGTGTTTTACATCTATGCCAAATTTCGATGAGATTCAATGAGCTGTTCTGGTGATACCTAATAACAAATGTACAAGAATTAGGGTAGACTCTGTGGACTTATAGTGAGCGTGATGAGGAACCACCAACCATCCATAAAACATTATAATATTAGTAAGATTTCAGAATATAAATAAGTCTCTTTTATTAATTTTATATTGCAGAATTGGGATGTTTTAGAAGAATTACTAAGAAAAGTAGTAAGAAAAAGGCACACACGATATACTAGATCAACTATAACTATAAGAACGGGTATATTTCAAAATTTTCGGCAGATTGTAGGAAAGTCAGTTGCCCCTTCTAATATATACATAAGCGATAAAGCTGGATACAAGAATATACTGCCGGTGTTTTTATGGAAGGTATGTCTAAAAAATGATTTTTTTTAATATGCTGCAGAAACGGCATCTAGTCGTACTAAAATATCTCTTTCTATATTCCAGTACATTTTGTCCCCACTCTCTATTCTATCTATCTGCTATTTTGTCTTTTAAATTTAATTTACTACAAGCTTTCGCCCGCGACTCCATCCGTGTGGGGGAAGCAAGTAGCCTAGGTGCTCTTCCTATGCTCTACATCTATGCCAAATTAATTCAAGATCCGTTCAGCATTTTAGTTGAAGCCACAAGCTCTAACCAATATCCATATATCCATCTAAACTTTCGCATTTATTATAATAGTAACATTTTTCAGGTGATAACAGACCAATTAAGTGCCGCAAGTGTTGCTATAATTCAAGTGACAATACCAGAATCATTAATAGGCGACGACATAAAGAAATTTGAGATATGTCCCAATAAATGTGATATGATAGAATGGATTAAAGAGATTGACGCTGATTATTTACAAAGTGGCTACATGTACTGCTGTAGTATTGGGGAATTTGAAAAAGCATTTTCACATCGTGTTTTATTCAGTGTGGGTTATAGTAATCTTTTAAATGTATTCACCAGTTGAAACGTTTTGTTATTCTAATTTTTATTCTATATTAAATAAGATGGTTAAGGTTTTTGTTTTATGTGTTGTTTTATTTTATGTCATCTGAAACGTTTTAGTCTGTGGAGTATTTTACAGTTCACGGACACACACAATGTATAGATCCTTGAAGGTCCTGTACAATCGTTCTCCACAGCCGCTTCGCTCGTCTGCCGCCAGAGTGACGACTGTCATCGAGTGTTGGCGCTTTTTTTTAAATTGTAGTCCGTCCGACTTTACTGTCACTGTTCAAATTACGTTTAAAAACACAGTAACATCATACTAATACTAATATTATAAATACGAAAGTTAAGATGAATGGATGAATGTTTGTTAGATTTATTAGCCTAAGCGACTGAACGGATTTCGATTAAATTTGGTACGGATGTAGTTAATAGCCTGGAAGAACACATGCACTTTTGTTTTTTTTTTTTTTTTTAATACCACGGGGACAAAGTCACAGGCGAAAATTAGTGTTAAATAAAATTATGTTAACGTCTCTAACAATGTGCAGCGCTTAACAAGTGTGTCAAGTACGCTTAAGAGCTGACGGCGGAAATTAGATATTTCTTGCGTATGCCAGTAAAGATGTTTCTTGGAACTTTTCTTTCCTATAAATTCCCGAGTAAACTACAAATTATAATAAAAAAAACCCTTTGTTTTTTTAAGGAGTTTGTTATATTTATGTCTAATATTGTATAATAATTTATGTCTTAATAAAGCTATAAAATTGATGGTTAATCAATTTTATAGCTTGTTTATGACAAAGTTATAGGCAATATTAAGATAAAAAAATAGCCTATAACATGCCCGTCCTCCTCTATAAACCTCCCAATAGTAGGAGAGTTTCAATTCGCACCGTGCATTAATGAGAGACAGTAATGATGTCGTGTTCCACTTCTTAGCACTACTCTGTACTCAATTCAAGAAATGATGTTAAAATAAGACTTTATTATTTCTTGCTTCTTACTTATAATTACGCGTTTAGGTGGATTTTTGTTATAAGAAGGACTCAGCGTATCTTAAAATACAATACAGGTATGGAACATATTCTGGAGAAATAGGTTATTACGTTTTTTAAAACCGCTGATTAAATCGCGGGCTAAAGCTAGTAATAATATAAAACATAAAAGCGCCTGTCAAAATAAAATAGGCAAATATCTTTTTAAAAATTCAAACCTGTTAATTTATAAAACTGTATACCATCAATGAAAAAATAATGGTAATTTAGTGAGTTTATGTGATAAGCCTATGAAAAGTCCAGTTTTAGCGAACATTTATGTAGATTTTCACTCAACATTTTCATTGTCTATGCAAAGCCTTTAAGCTCGCTCGAGTTTTAGCTTTGGGGGTAAAGTTGCCAATTTACATTGCCTATTTCCTGTGATAATATTAACACGGATATTTCTATTTGAAAAGAAATAATAAGTTTTGGTGCCAAAATTAATAACAAACCAATTATAGTAAAGAACCTAAAGACGTAGCAAATCTTAACATTAACTTAACTAAACTTTGAATTTAAATTCTTACTAGCTTTCGCCCGCGTCTCCGTCCGCGTGGATTTAAAAAAACAAAAGTGAGTAGTCTACCTATGTGTTCTTCCACGCTATCCTCTACGTATATGCCGAATTTCATGGAGATCTGTTAAGCAGTTTTGGCTACAAACTTCAACAAACATCCATCCAAACATTTATAATAACTATCAGTAAAATTTGTATGTATAACTTGGAGAGAGCATTTTTTATGATGCTTCTAGCGCTTGACCACAATCCCACCCGATGTTAAGATGTCATGTGCTCGAAGGATGGTGCGCGTAGAAGTAATTTGTTACAGCAAGTTTGTAACGTGCATATTTCGCGATTGATCTGAAACACATTTTAACTCACAAAGCCACGCCAGTCAAGTGGTTTGATCGTCCGCAACGAATCTGCATACTCTTAATCGAAAACCTGACGTTGCGTGGAAATGACTTTTATCGAAAACAGTACGATCAAGTATACTTGATACTAGTGGGTCAGATGGCATATCCCTTTGTATTTCTTTGCCGTCACTTCGAAAAACCTATTAGAATGACACATTTTGTTTACTTACTAGCTGTTGCCCGCGACTTCTTTCACGTAATATTAAGATAAAAAGTAGCCTATGATATGCCCTTCTATATCAGCTACCCTTTAGTGAATGTCCGGTCGCAATCGGTCCAACCGTTTCGGACTACCCGGAACAAACGCGGCTTGCTGACAGACGAAAAAGAAATTATCTTGATCAAATAAATCTTACTAGCCTTCTTACTATTAATATTATAAATCTGAAAGTTTGGATAGATTTACATATTTCGAGTTTATAGCTGAACGGATCTCGATAAAATTTGGTGTAGACGTAGAAGATATCCTGTAAGAAAACAGGCTACTTACCATTGTTTTTTTTTTGACGGAGTTGCGAGCGAAAGCAAGTTAATCGCTAGTCATGCTCAGGCTTGGAAAAGTCCTGTATACAAAATAATTAACAGTAAAAACCAATATTTCAGTCTCTTTTTTCCACGTTTACCTCTTTATATTCGTATCAAAGACGCAATTTTACACTTCAATTTTGATTTGAATAAATAATAGGAAGGGATTTTGGATTTCAAAGGGCTAGTCAAATGACGAGGGACTCTGTTAGATGCTCGGGTCACTTGTTAGCGCCTTTTAGATTTACATTCAGATCGGTTATATCCTCTTTGTCGATAGAAATCCAAGAAAAATAGTTATTAGTATGTATTTTTAACACGTTTTATTATTTTCATGATATGTCCATTTAGGGGCTACCCTAAGTTAGAAGAGGCCTTGATCTTCGGAAATATGTATATGCAGGTTGCATCACCATGTTTTCCTTCACCTAAAATCGGATGAATGCACATATGAAATTCGAAAATCCAAATACTCATACATTGTGATTGAATCTGGACGTATATATTATAGTCCGATCCAGTCAAACTCTTAAAAATTACGCCACCGACGTCCTATTACCCTATTTTAGTAATATTATAAATGCGAAAGTTTGGATAGATGAATGAATGTTATAGCTTGTACCCTAAACGAATGTACGGATCTCGATTAAATTTGCCATAAATGTAGAGGATAGTCTCGAAGAGCACATAGGATGCTTACATTTGTCTTTATTTTAATTTGATGCAAACGGAGTCGCGGACGAAAGCTACAATGGAATACATTAATACATATATTAGTTAAGCTTCTGAGTTAATCACCAACATGCGAGGTATATTTAAAAAAAAATCTGCAATAACCTTCCAAGAAATAGGACAGATATTTACGAATCAGTCGTATCAATCAGTCGTCGTCAGTGGAATTATTGTGATAACGACACTCATTGCTTCGTCGCAGTCAAAGCTCCGTTTTAATTAGTGCCGAAAACAGAGACGAAGTGAACATACCGTTACATAGTACTTTGTGAATGTTGATGACTGCCGTACAATACGATACTAAACATAGTCGAATGGAAAATAATTTTAACAAATATGATTGATAATTTATTTTGAACATTATGGAGTCTAGAGATTTTGGCACTGACAATATATAGGTAGGACAGACGTGGTATTTTATGCCTATTTGATATTCGCTACTTGACATCCTTTGTTGGTGGCGGTGTTGAAAATTGCAAGTGATAATAGAAATAGAATTAACTGTTATTAACATCAACAGATATTAAATGGAAACTAAGATATATATTCCTTTCCATTTATACAGATCAGTGCATTTTGGACAAGGTTTAAATAAAACTCTGTGAAAAATAATGTGTACTACCATAAGCAAGTACCGTAGCGCGTGAGCCTACCACCGTGGATTGTTAGCATCAGAGAAACAAGCAGATTACTTTCTGCCCTTTAAGGCTAACACTTTTTTCATGAAGGGCCCTATGTACTACCAAGTCGGAAATACAATACTATTCATCTAAATAGGTCTAACAAATACTAATTTTTGAACCACTATTAAATTGTTCAAACTTACGTAAGACATCCCAAACTATTTAAGGAAGACTTACCTCTTCTTTTTACTATTACAACAGTAAATAGACCAATATACCGGTTTGCAACTCACAATAAGGAAGTAAAGAATTCATTAAAAGTAAACCGAGCAAACATTAACAAGGTAATCCTTACGTAAATTTGTTATTCCAACCCGAATCCCCTTTAAAAGCTTTCAACTAAGCTACCTTAAGACTATAAACAAAATCAAACCGCGGAATCGAACACAAATAAACTGCACGATGAATTAATTAAAGTACTTTTACTAGCTAGTTAAATGCCCTGACTTCGCGTATATAGCAGAAGCCGTAAATTTTTTCTTTTGATGTGATATTGATAAACAGCCTCCTATCAACAATCATTGTATTTTTAATAGTTTGTAAAAACACGATGAAAATTTAAATTAACTTTTTCGCTTATAATTTCTTTATTTAATTGTTTATGAGACGATGGAAGTTGTTTAACACTGTTGTTAACATCTTGAAAGACTTTATCTATGTATATCTATACTAATATAATAAAGCGTAAACACACACTTCTTTGTTGCCTAAGATGTCAGCAATTACAGCATATTTTTGAATAATTCCTTTTCTAATAAAAAGCCCTACACTTGCGTCACGCTTTAGGCTATATTTTAACGCCATTAAACTGAGGAGGTAAATATTTTGGATAAAAACCCTAATGTCTAAATGAGACCATAAGTTGCTGCCAACATCAACGAAACAAGGTTGTTATCATGTCATGTCATTTTGACATTTGCAATTGATAATTTGACAAATGTAAACAATGTGTTATTATTATAATTTCATGCAGATGAAGCCGCAGGGGAACAGCTAGTTGTAAAATAATCAAGGAAATTAGTATCAACGTAAACAAATATAATTTATAGTGTTATTGACAAATTAAAAATAATGTGATACGGATTCCGGAAGCGATATATGTTTAGATACTCTATTTTTTTGTTTGAAATAAAATTAAGAGTTACTATCATCCGTGTCCATATTCCGAAAACAGTCAACGAAGTCAAAACAATGTTGTTAACATCGAGTCGAGTTCCTCGCAACACTCGTCCGCGCTCGATGTGTCAGACTTAAGGACGGACAAATTGTAGCAGCTGCGACAGCAACGACGGACGACGAAAATACGTCGGCATAGGGACGTCCGTGATTTATATCGACATTTTAAATTAATGTATTTCCTTTTTAAAAATGCAACACAGAATTAATTTAATACATCGAATCAAAAGGAATTGAAGTATCCATTTAGGTACGTATATTGGATTATGCACTTATATCGATATAGAAAGAAATAAAGTGATGGAAAATTGCAGTTTACACCTAATGTATGCAAATAAAATTCTATTAGATTGGGGTAATTGTACACATAAAAATTAAACAACATCCGGACACATCTAATTATTTTTACAGCAATAAAAAGAATGTGTAAAAACATTTAATTATACATTTTTGATTTATCTCTCAAACTTGTTAGTCAAAAATAATAATTTTCCCCAGCAAAAAGATTTAATGATATCACAGAATATTTCTAACATTTTTTTAAACACAAACACAATAGGAAAAGGTATAAAATAATATACCATCGATAATTGTAAATATGATTTCCCATCACTACGCTTGCGAACGATTTAGCGACACTAGCGCTAAGCATTATAACATCGCCTTAATCATAACTCAATTAAATCTTTTATATTTATGTGAACAGTTAAATCAACACACGGCCACAGTAAATTAAAGTCAGTGTTGGCGCGCAATTTAATTACATTATCCGTAACTGTCGTGTATTCTTGTTGCGGTTTGAATTTAGAATAGTTTGAGATTGTTATATGATATTAAATTATGCAAAAAGTATTATGTTTTACAATTTACGTTGGGTGTTATTCAATGGGCCGATCAAATCATCAATCGATAGTATAGATTCAACGGTCCAGTGGGAAAAAATCCTAATGGATCTATCGATCGGTGGGTTCGCCAAACGGGAAACATCCCTTATGTTTACTGTAAAACTTAAATTCATATAAGATAGTACTTTAGCAAACTTATATCGATATTGTTTCACAAAACTTTATCCTGTACTGATAAGTACGTTACGAACTAAATTAATCAAAAATGCAAATTTTCCTTTAAACAATCTTACTAATATTATAAATGCGAAAGTTTAGATGGATGCTTGTTAGGGTTTATAGCCGAAATAACTGAACGGATCTCGATGAAATTTGGCATAGACGTAAAGATTAATTTGGAAGAACACAAAGGCACTTTTTTTTAATAAATAAATAGAATTTTTATTGCCACAAAAAACTACATAAAACATTTAATACACAAAACCTTAGAGCTAATATAAAAAAAAGAGAGAAATGTGGCAAAAGGTGGCAAGCTCAGCTAATGCAGGGACGGCGCAGGCCGTTACTGCGCTGGTTTTCAGCTGGCTCAAAGAGGCATATGTGGCATATGGGCATATGGGCATTATGTGTAAAGTCACATAAGTAGGGTGACAACCTAGACAGACATTAAAATAATTTAATGTCACGCGGATGGAGTCGTGGTCGTAGGCTAGTATAAGTATACATTTATCAATTTCTTTCACTAAACAGTTGTACATATATCTATCTATTTATATCGTACACAGTCTAAAGATCGTCACGACTGAATGCTCAGTGAATTTTGAAATAAACATGTCTTTTATAAATTGCATTCCATATGGCCGGTTCCGTCGCACTGTCAAGAGTTATGGCTTCACGTTGTATTTGATGAATACTGACTTGTGAGTGTAGACGACTGGTTATTTAAAACTCTAATGGTAAGCTTACACCAAGCTATATGAAAAATACGATGGAATATATCTAATTTTTACAGAGGCATAATATATACTCTACCATATGTCTATCATATACTAAGATTATAAAGATTTGTAATTTTGTATGTATTTAAATAACTCAAAAACTATTGTTCCGATTTTAAAAATTCTTTCACCATTACAAAAATAATTTATCTGTGACATGGGCTATATACATTTTTTAATTTCACGCATACGAAGTCGCGAGCAACAACCATTTGAATTCACTCCCAACTACTTTTTATCATAGAACTAAAGCTACCATTTTTTAAAATATTACTTTCTTCATATGTCAATTTTACAATATGGCCAATAAATTCAAATATCGCACATATATCATATTTTTCGACTTTTGGTCGAATCGAAGAGTATATAGAATAAGACGAAAATATTGAACATTTCGACATTCGTGGGAATTTCAATATTCCACTTTCGAGAATTTGCAATTAACAAGGAACTGTTTATATTCAATGTGAAAGTGGACATCAATCTGATATATCCAGCTAATTTCGAGCCTTAATGTATTGATGGTTGCGAATTAATCAAACGAATAACATTTGAATAGTTATTCCGTATTGTAACACAATTACTCTGTGATTCTGTAAACTGTAAAGGATTACTGATTAATAATACATAAATATAATATTAACTATGCAAGGCGTAAAACGAATCAATGATATTCTAATGTGATGAATTAGAAAATACGAGTTTATAACCTTAAAATCTAAACCAGGTTAAGGAAAAAATTGACAGGTACTACGATGGCTTAAAGCTATAACAGAGGTAATCAGAGCTAAATAATTAATACATACAATTTTAAATTCAATGGTAGGTAATCAAAATCCAAATAATTTTGTCGCTTTATTCACATGACTAGCTATTCCGGTGCGACTTCATCCGCATGAAATTATGAAAGTTTTATTTTATTATTTACATTTGTCAAATTATCAATTGCAAATGTCAAAATGACATGACATGATGACTAGCTTGCTTCCTTGATGTTGGCAGCAATGGTCTCTTTCCCACATTAGGGTTTTTATCCAAAATATTTACCTCCTAAGTTTAATGGTATTAAAATATATAGCCTAAAGTGACGTAAGTGTGGGGCTTTTTATTACAAAAAGAATTATTCAAAAACATGCTGTAATTGCTGCCATCTTGGGCAACAAAGAAGTGTGTGTTTACGCTTTATTATAATAGTAAAGATTACTAGTTGAGTCATGAATGGTAGAAAATTAATCAAACGTACGATGATTTCAGTTTGTGGAAATATTAATTTTCATGTGGTAAGAGGCTGTTTCCCGTTGGACCGATCGGCCTACCGAACGATAGACTCAATGGTTTATTTCGTATTGGGATAGAATCTATATAAGGAATCGACATAATGGGGAAGAAAACTCCCATTGGGCCGATTGATTTGTAGACTTTTTGGTCCAACGGTAAACAACCGCTATTCATTCGTTCATTCATAGACAAGCCCGGGTGAACTTAAGTAAAAAAATAGCAAAGTTACTTTTAGATTTAAGTGCAGTTGTTCTTTCACACTACTTAGAGTATTTTTTAATTACTTCAGGCTAATGCTTCATTGTTCCTGCATCTAAAATGCATCCATGATACTCGATATGGCAATAACATTACATAAAAACTACTCTCCAGGTATCAAGGATGAAAGTGCTTTTAATAGATATGGCTCAAGTCCAAAGCTTTATATTCCAAACTTTCGAGCTTTTATAGCCGCTGACAGTGTGTCAGCACCTGTAACCTGACATAAAAGGCGAAATTATTTTAATCTGTAGCAACGTTTAGTTTATAAATAGAGTTTCCAGTAAGTGTCGGCGCCATGTTAGAGTAGGGACGTGTTATCTTGTGTTTAATTTTTAGTACAATATATTGCTTGCTATCAGGATTTTATTTAAAGCGGACACACATTGACTGACAACACAACAACTGGTGTGTGATTGTCGATTGTTTTGTCATTTCAACTGTTTATTTGCACAACTAAAAATCGAGTAGTGTGCATGTCCATATAAGCTTATAGGAATTAAAGCGAGTAAACAGTTGTGCGATAGTTTAGTCAAAGGTGTGCGTTTTTACCATTTATAAAGTGGGTCTACGTCTTATTTACGTATTGTTTACCTGTATTTTATTATAAAGCCCATAATTTTTTGTTATTATGTGTTGTTATCTATTTGAAATGGATAAGGTATCATATCAACATCTTTATAAAATTTGATCCACTATTTTGTCTTACTGTCGCTCATAATTTAACTAGAAAGCTCACTTTTGTTTCTTTTAAGGTCATCATCTTCCCTGCCTTATCCTACTCCCGTAGGGTCGGCGCGTTTGTTTTCGTCCTCCAAAGCACTCTATCATCCGTCATCTCAGTCATCACTCCCTTCTTGATCATGTCCTTTCACGAAATCCATCCATCTGTTTCTAGGTCTACCTCTACCGATGTACCCCTCCACATTCATAACTAACATAACTTGTAGGTGTAAAATAATAATACTTAGTTTTAGAAATGTATTTATTTTTCAATTTATTGTGCTTTGTGTTTATAATTTCGACCAATTGGGTCATTTAAATTTAATATGTGACTCAACTTTTGAAAATATACATCAGTGAAACGATCGTAAAAAAATAAATATTCACATAATTTTTTAAATATAAAACATAAAACAAGGAACAACATTTTACAACTCAAAATACATAAATACTATTAACTGAAATATGTATATGATACTTAACTTACAATTAATTTGATATTTCTTCTTATGAAATAAACATTTAATTAAATTCACTGGGATGCATAATTTCAATATCGACGGGTGAAAGGTTGTTTGAACCGCCATTTTAGGCGATATCAACTTATATTTATATTCAGAATCAGCGAAGATTTCTGCGTCGTTAATAAATAACGAAGTATGCAGAATTATAGTAATTTTAATCAAATACCAGTCTGAAAATCTTTCAATTGAAATTATTTTCAGGACGTTTTTTCTAAAAATGAAAACTTTAAATGGCTTTCTTGAACATTTAACCAAATGGCGCTTAAAACAAATAGCCTTTCACCCATCGAAATAAAAAAAAGCTATCATTTTAATGAATTGACATTTCAAGGTAAAAAGCAGAATATTTTCATCTTCAAAAATCTATTAAAGACCTTGACATAGTAAAGTAGAATAACTAATAGTTAGTATTCACTGTTAATTAATATTGCTGTCTTAATTATTTAAAGCAAAATGAAAAAGATAGACAACTATGTAAAAACATAATTTAGTAAGAGACTTGACATTAACCGATGATAATCTGTGGTCAAGAAACAAATTGTTTAAGTGCGTATCGACATTAGGATTAAATGCTCTTTAGAGATAGGTGGTGACCAGTTTCGAGGTGTTACAAGGAAACCAGCGAACAATGAACTTCTAGATGCGATAGTTACACCACGTAAATCAGTATACACCTTTACAATTCCTCAACATTTATCAAGGGAGTTCAGATTAATAGTGCAAATTATTAATCAATGTAATAGATTATTTTGTTTCACATGACCTAAATGTTGATATAGTAATATGAAATGACAGATAATTCAAATATAGCACCAGAGATAAGAAGATTAGGACATGATGTATCTTCTGGAAAGATTGTGTTTCTATATATGCATTACCAATACTAAAATGTGATATGATTATAAAATTCAACTTACTAATGTCCCTAAATAATAGTTTCTACCTATTTTTACACTATCTACAACTTTCAACCAAATTACATGTGTCACAATTTTTACAACGCAATTCTTAATTCAAACATAATTTAGGACTAGTTCCGAATAACTTACTAAGAAAAACCACTACGTCTACATAAGTTTTATGGTCGTTAATTCTGTACAAAATTATTTATGCAATTACATATTTAAACACTATTATTAAATGACCTACATTGGCAAGAACAATTTAAAAATAAATACGTGTTACAATTGAAAACTGTCCTACGTAGAAGGAATTTTTCAGAAACATAGTAACTACTGGAACTGTTGAATTCCTCATTTACATTAAACCCTTAACTGAAGAAGGCAAAATGAGGCCACACTGAATATCAGTTTCATTAGGCCGCGAGATAACTACATATTACCTAAGTGTCATGAATGTCAAATATCAGAACCTTTATATATTATCACACAAAGTTCACAAAATCACTATCTTGTTCATGACATTGGAATTTCAGCTGATAAACGATGTCTGGATGACGCTCTGGTGCCACATGTTCCACAGGTATTATTACTATATCCGGAATCAGATCCGAAAGAAGAGTCACCACTAGGTGGTTTAGGTGAAGCACGAGGTCCTCTCCAACAGGCAATTCCCGGAAGTTCTCCTCCTGGCCAAGCGCCTCCTGCTTGCATCGGTAATGGCCCAGGTGGTCTCGCCCCAACTGTACCGACTTGAGGATATAATCTTAACAATGCATCTAAAAGAACCCCTTCATGAAATTCTGAAGGATCCGGTGGATGAATGTGACGTGGCATTCTATGATGACCACGACGTCTTTCCAAAGACTTCGGTCGTCTATCCAGTCTTTGTGGTCTTTGACGATGTGGTAGTGAAAGTGGTACTGTAGGCCTGGAACAGGTCCGACAGGGAGCCGCCTCGCCGACGAGACTTAATTCATCTTCTGCGAAGTGATCGTCGCTGTGAATCGAGTCGTCCGATCTGTGAGGTAGTTCCTCGTAGAGCGGAGCCCCGCACGCGTCGCCACCGCAAGGGTTGCCGCCACGCCATGTGCCCCCGCTGTCACAGACGAACACTCGCCCCGGACAGTTGTGTCGCTTTGTTTCCACCATCTGAAATTGTAAAGGTGCTCAATTAGAAAAAAATATTTCATTACTAGGTGTTGCTCGCGACTTAGCACTTCAAAATTGAGAAATAATAAAAAAAATCGCTGTAATAATTTTTAAAATCGTTGTAGTAGTTTTTGAATTATTTGGATACATTCAAAGATACAAATCTTTTCTCTTCTCGTTTTTACACGAGGCTCATTAGAAGCATAGAGTAGAGAAGTCTTTCAAGATTATGGTTAGACAATAAAGTATGTTCTGTAGAAGCTTATTTTATCTATTAGTTATCTTCTTATTTCAAAAACGTAGAACGAATAATACTTACTTCTAACTGTGGTTCGATATCAGGTCTATGCGGTAGCGGAGGTCGTCTAGGCAAGTCCTGTAAGTCTTCATACAATGGTGCTTGCGGTGGCGCTCGCCTCTGTGACCCACCGCTCTGTGACGGCGCTGATGATTTCGATGGCAGGAAATTTGTTACTTTTCGCTTATGTCTGTTAACAAAGAAAGGTCATATTAGCATTTACTAAAACAAAGACTTTAACAAACAGATGTTCCCGTGCGGCTTAATCCGCATGAAATTATAAAAGTTTATTTTTATTGTTTACAGTTATCAAATACTTAATTTCAAATGTCAAAATTACCGTTACCATAATAACCTTGCTTTATTTATGTTGTCCCTTTCCTACATGATTTTCTTTTTCCAATTTATTTTCCAAGTTTAATAGTGTGAAAACATATAGCCTAAAGCGTGTCATAAGTGTAGGGTTTTTTATTAAAGAAACAATTATTCAAAAACATGCTATCATCGCTGACAACTAATTATTATACGGCAAATACTACTGTTTGTTTACCGGTGGCGGCACCGACTAGTCTTGGACCCATGGACCATCCATCTTCAGGAGAAGTGTTACTTGATTTGGGACCAGTGCGAAGTGCGATGCAATCTCGAAGAAAGCCAATATATAGGTGTATAATAATCAGTTGCAATTTTCTATCAAATTAGTAATATAATCAATGGTTCTATAAAACATAAATTTTATCATAAACAGTTGTAACAGTTTCTTGTGAATCAATTTTCTGATAAAATTTTCTTGACCCAATTTTCTTCAATTTTAACTGTTACTGGATATAGAAAGAAAAACGAAACATTTTCATTGTACTTAAACAAACTTGAAATCCATTAAAGTTTAAATTATCGTTACAGGGTTCATGTATTAAGGCGGAAGTTTTATGGATTTTAGAGGCAAAGCCAAGCGGTCTCATGCAAAGTTTTATAACTAGCTGGGGCGAAGACTATTATCGTTTATCGCTTCTGTTACATAGGACTTCTTCCAGTCTGCTTTATTTTACCGTGGATTTGCAGAATCTCATTTCCTCGTGTAATTTATTATTTAAGATATTAAACGAATACAATTTGAATAGAGAATAAATTTAACGAAATCGTGCTCAAGTTGGAAATGATATTCTCGAAACGTTTTAGAGAAATTGAATTATTGAGAAACATGTTTTTTTCAATCTTTATCTTTTTTAAATCTTAATTTTAAAAGTCAGTTGTAACTGTACAAAAAATTACTTAATCTTTTATTCTATACGTATATAATTATTTATGTTTTAAAAATTAGTAGTTTTAGTGCAGAATTTTTTGCAATACAACTTTCAATCCTAAACCTATACATTCAATACAATCATTATAAGTCAAATTTTAGTCCCTTTCTATTTCTATCCATTTCTTAAGAAGAAGCGATGGAAAAGAAAAGTGGATTTGACGGTGGAGATGCATAGGAAGGGTAAATATCCTCTTTATGAGCGTCTCCTCCGTTAGTCGTAGGCAACATATGTAATTGCGGAAGTCTGGACAGCGGTCGCTTTGCCATTTCGGCGGTCTCAGGTGGCCGCTTGCTCGTTTACCACCTTATAATATAAAAAAATCAATACAAAACCTTATCTCATTCATGTCCTATTTAATGTAATCATCCGTTAACGTCATTTGGTATTGAAATAATCAATTTATTGAGCGATAACCTTTCGCAGCATAACTAATGATTCCACAATACGAACATTCTTGACTACCGTAGGGTTAATTTAAAAAAAATGTTCTACGATAATGATTTGCGTACGTCTCGAAGTAACTCGGCGTTAAAGCAAAGTTCATGTCACCGTGAAAGTAAAAAAATACTTGTTACTGCAACTATTTACACTTAAATTATTATTCTTTATTAAGTGGAAATAGTATTTTTAATGAAAGTTTAATAAAGATGTAATAAACAGATTGTAAATGACAATAAAAGGTAATAAAAAATTGTCAATTACATTTTTTTCAAACCACATAGGAAATACATAATTTAATGTACCAATTATCATCTATTTTCGATAGCTTTCGTCAGATTATAAACGTACCATGTTTACAGTTTTACGGTGACATAGGAACGCGACCACCCACGGATAGTGCGCGACAGTGGGTATTATACACGCGTCGACGCGTGTTGCTCGCTGCCCGTAAATGGACTCAAATGCCCATTTATAAACAACTCTTGTTTTAAAGAAATCTCTGTGTTCGAAACTTTATACCTCTAAGCTAACTCACATGTTTATGTAGAGCTTTTTAGCTATTTCGTAACACTTATGTACTAGCTTACCAAGTACGTCCGAGTTGAATTAAAAAAAATCGAATGTGAGTCTATGTGTTAATGCGAAAGTTAAGATGGATGTTTGTTGGTTTTTAGCCTAAACGACTGAAGAGATCTCTATGAAATTTGGCATAGATTTAGAGTATGGAAGAACACATAGACTACTTTTGATTTTTAATAGCACTCAGACGGAGTCGCGGGCGGCAGCTAATATTGTAATAAATAAATAATATTATGTATTGGTTTAGGGATCAATGAAATTGAAAACCGGTGTTATGATCACCGATCCACACAAGACTTTATCTCATATCTAATTTTTAAAGATAAAACATGCCCTCTTACGTGAATGGTAATTTATCTTTTTATCAAAAGTGACATTTATGTCCCTTGTAATAAAAATTAAATCCCTTTGCACCTTCACTTCGCTTGTACCGTTGAATGGCCGTTGGTAAAAAAAAGCTTGTGCTATTACGATAAAAATAATTCGATAAATCAGTAGACAGACAGTCGGTAACCATGTATGTAAATAAAATAAATTGCATCTTATTTTATCTGATTGTTGATATTTACGAGTACAAATGTGTTGTGGACAAATAACCGTAATAAAGGAAGGGTTGATAATTTTAATCAGAAATCGTTGGTTTATTTAATTTGATGGGCTTTAAAGGGCTTTGAAATAGTGTTGTTAATGATACATTAAGGGCTGATAAGGGATAGATTGCCCTTGGTTGAAAACTCGATCGATATTTTGTGTTAATTTGTATAAAGTAATAAAGATAAACTAAGATTAACTGTTGTATTTTTAATTGTAATGTTTTGTATTCATTATTTAATTTATTAACTAGCTTTCGCCCGCGACTCCGTCCGCGTAGAATTGAAAAAAACAAAAGTAAGTAGCCTATGTGTTCTTCCAGACTGCCCTCTATATCTATACCAAATTTCATCGAAATCCGTTCAGCCGTTTAGGCTACAAACTCTAACAGACATCCATCCATCCATCTATCCATCCATCTACACTTTCACATTTATAATCTTAGTATGATTACTATGAAGCATGATAAATAAATACATTAGTGTGACATTTTTAATTCTAGCTTTGGCTCCTAGACTAGGATAAGAATGTTTTAAGAGCAAATTCCTTCCCAATATACTTTATGTTTTAATTTTGGCATTGGCTGAGCATAGGGTTCCTTGCAATGATACTGTGCCATTTGATGGGTAGACAGGCTTATGTACCCACTAAAAGTTCCGGGATCTGCAAGTAACGTTCCTCAACCAAGCATGGGGTAGGTAAGCATAGGGTTCCTATATGATGGCAATATCCATTCTTTCATTTCTAGACTGCTTTCATTCATAATTAAAATAAATAAGGCATACAAATTACCGTTAAAAATATATCACGTTAAATCAAAAGCTACAATTTCGGAGCTAGTGCATACCAAATTAATATCGACGTTACGTTTTGTCGATAACCGCAACGTATACCGGTATCGTGTTACTCGATACTCGATAATTAGTGGCACGTCACTAATCTCTGGAGACGTATTATAAGATTGATTGGCGTCCACAATGACTATAGTCGACGTATCAAGTGTTATAATAAGGTGTGACATTTGACGGTACTATGATAAAGGTACGAATATGACGCCGTCAAAAGAATTTTGTAAGACAAAAAAATCAAACGGACATAACGGATGCATCCATCGTAGTGATATGTCGGTTAGAATCTCATCATCGTCCTCTTTATCCTACTCCAGTAGGGACATAACAGGTTTTTGTCCTCCACATAACTCTATCAGCCGTCATCTCAGACATCACTCCCTTGATCGTGTCACCTTTCACGCAAGCCCTTCATCTCTTTCTAGGTCTACCTCTACCAGTGTACCCTTCCACATTCATAACTAAAGTTTAGATTTCGGTTAGAATCTATTTATAATAGTTAATCTGAATATTGTTGTTCCTGATTTCATATGCGTCTAATTAATAGATATTAAAAATATATAGCCTGTGTGTGTGTGTGCCACAGACATTTCCTTTCTAATTGTGAAAGATTTACTCAAATTGGTCCATGAGTTTTTATGTGAATCAAATACATACAAAAATAAAAATCTTTCCTCTTTATAATATTATCAGAGAAGATTATAAAATTTCATGTTAATACTCATGATGTATTTGTGTTGCTGATAAACTTTTTTTAAATTTTTGTCTATCTATCCGGAAGGTCGCATTTGTTGTAGGTTATCTCCGAAACAGATGGACCAATTTTGACAGTAAGTCGGACGAAACATAAATATATTTTTTAAAACAAATGACAATACCGAATTCGACTTCACTCGTCATAACTTTTTTATTTCTCTTTTTCGATGTATTTGAGTATATTTAGTCAGTCGGGTTTTGTTTTTTAAATCAATGTTAAGATATTTTCCTTACATACGTATTCTCCAAAATAAATGTAACGCTCTCATTTTACTCGTAATTATTCGTATACTATAAATAAAGAAGTCTCCAGACTAAATTGTCACCGTCTAAAAGTTACAGGGATTTTTGTCTACATTTTAGTTCTTGTCAACGTGAATATATAAAGTATTTCGTAGGAAAGTATTAAAATAGACCTGTAGAGAACGTACGAGAATAGCTAATGTGAAAACTTGCCAATGGAGTGTAGATAATCGAAGATTGATGACCGAACTAAAACTTAGTTTTGGGGACGAACGAAATCACATTGTTATAAGCATTGTATCTTATAAACATTATTTTATTATAGACTAGCTTTCGCCCGCGAATCCATCCGTGTGGAATTAAAAAAAAACTTGAGTAACCTATGTGTTCTACCAGACTATCCTCTACATGTATACCAAATTTCA